AATGCTAACCAGCATATATACATTTTCTTCTGTCCTCCATGGACAGGGTGAGAATTCCGTTAAACATATAGTTCAGGGATTTATAGAACAATCAACCACAGAAGGTGATTGTATTGCTTTTAAAATGCTAATCTAACCTAAAGACACAAATACATAGATACACAGAGTTACGTCTGCCCTACATAAAGTGCTCGATGTGTTCTTTACATAGTGTCAGTAATGTGCATTTAGAAAGGTGAAATGTAATTCTGATCATCTTTCACATATACTTTATACACATACATACATAAATACGCACACATATACATATATATATATACACATATATATACACACACACAGATGCACATACATTTATGGCTCTCCTACTCTGAGAGGGTAAGATAGCTGATAGAAAAGCTAGTGTGTTATTAAGCACTTAACCACTGAAGGACTTGGTGAATACAACTAGGTGAATACATACATACACACACACACACACACACACACACACACACACACACACACACACACACACACACACACACACACTACACACACACACACACACTACACACTCACCCACACACTACACACTCACCCACACACACACCACCTGCAATTAGCTGAGTACACACACATCATGGAGTCCCCACCTGAATAAACTCATAAGGAAACTGGAAAAGGTTCGGAAGTTTGCAACGAGACTCGTCCCAGCGTTACGAGGGATGGGTTATGAAGAGCGCCTGAAGGAACAGAGCCTTACGTTACTAGAAAAAAGAAGGGAGAGGGGGGAATATCATAGGAACGTATAAAATACTCAGGGAGATTGACAGAGTGGACATAGACGAAATGTTTACATGGAATAGTAACAGAACGAGGGGACATGGGTGGAAGCTGGAAACTCAGATGAGACACAGACTCATCTGAGACTTTGGCTCTTTGACCAAAGAACCAAAGCGCAACCCCCGCAAGCACAATTAGGTGAGTACAGAGATGTTAGGAAGTTTTCTTTTAGCGTGAGAGTAGTGGACAAACGGAATGCACTTAAGGAACAGGTTGTGGAAGCAAACTCTATTCATAATTTTAAAACTAGATATGATAGGGAAATGGGACAGGAGTCATTGCTGTAAACAACAGATGGCTGGAAAGCCGGGATCCCAGAGTCACTGCTCGATCCTGCAAGCACAAATAGGTGAGTACAAACACACACACAGACACACAAATGCATTTTGAAAGGTATAAAAAGCCAGAATGGGTACTGGCGGGGCCGTGATCCTCCCCGTCACCAGCCGCCCTGGACAAACCCCCCCCCCCCCCAAGAAAGGGCTTTCCAATATCTCCAGTTTCCAACCTTTTTCTTCTGAAGAGAACATTAACGTTTGTAACTTAAGTAGGGAATGGAGGGAAGAAGGAAAAACATGAAAGAGGCCAAGAGGGAGAAGGAAGAAAGAAAGGGAATGTGAAGAGAGAGAGAGAGAAAGAGGCAAGAGGAAAAGAATAAGAGAAAACGTTATATATGAAGATGCAAAATTAATGGGATATGAAAGGGGAATAATGTGAATACGGAAGACCATCCTCCTGAAATGACAGTCCTAATGGTCACTATTAGGTCGGAAGTACCAATATGTGGTGATGGACCACGAATTATTCGCTTTTGTCATTTTAGTTATATTGATCAGGGAAAATATAGGTAAAAGTAGTCTTAAATATTCCCAGTCCTAGTATAGCACATACTTGTACTACATTAGGACTAAAATAGCTTGTAATAGGCCTAGGATTGCTATGAGTAGGCTTAGGTTTGGTATTCAATTTTTGTTGCTGTTAAAAAAGTTTCCAATTTGTCCAAATTCAATAGAACAAAAGTCAATATTTAGTTGGTCCATCACCACATATAGGAACTATTTGGTCGAAAATACCAGTAATTACTTTTTGTAGGAGGATAGCCATAGAGAAGGCCGTAAATTATGCAATTGAGAATAATTTACAATATGTCGTCATTCATACCGGCTCTAAATCTTCGCTCCAGGCATTGTTATCCAGTCAGCACAGAGATAATATACAACTCATCACTGAAATTCTACATATAGGAAAAGAAGCACACAATCTAGGGCTATCAATCATCCTAAATTAGATACCAAGTCACATTGGCATAGATGGTAATGAAAAGGCAGACTCACTAGCAAAAACTGCCACTGCTCTATTTGTTTTAAATGTTAAAATACTCTAAGTTTCTCACAGATTAAGGAACAAATCTAGAAGAAAATACTCCCAACTATCAAACGTAACCTCAGAGCCAAAGTAGGGGAAGATCCACTGTGATATGGCACGAACCAGCCACTGGGTGCTTCTTATTTCAAGCCTGGCAAAAAAACTATCCAGAGACATTGCAGTAGCCATATACGAACTCAGATTTGGCTACAAGTGCTGCTGGGAGGTAATAAATCCAATAGTTCATGAGTGTCATATCTGTGGAACAGATGCAGAAATACCACTATTACATTACTTACTGGAATGTGAAGCAACTGAAGCCCTGCGCATCAAACACAATATTCATCCAACAAGAGCAGCTGCATTAAATGCACAATCCACAGCGACCACAATGGTTAAAAAAAGCAGTTGAAGATTGGTACACACTAGTGAACACTGTTCATCTATATCCGCCACCAAGATAACGTTATTGAAACAAAACACTAAAATTAGTGCGAAAAGAAGGAAACTCTACCATCATTTAAAACGTTGACCCAGATATCACAGTACTTAGGTTATCGTGAACAACCGAACTCAATTAGGGGCTCTCCATAGCCCGTGCTACATGGACATTTTGTTCCGAGTAGCTGAATCTAAAACAACAATAACAACAACAATAACAGAGGGGAAGGGAACTATCAGGAGAAAGCGCCAAACCATAGCGACTATATAGCACTTGGAAGGGGGTTATAATAAGTATATGGGATGGGACGGGGGAAAGGAATAGCGTCCAACTACTTGGAAGGTCGGGGATTGAACGTCGACCAGCATGAAGCGAGACTGTCGCTCTACCGTCCAGCCCAAGTGGTTGTGGGATAGCCTGAATATGAGGCAGCTAGTGAAGAGAAAGGTGACAATACCTTAAAAGAGAAAGAGAGTATATTGAAATAAAGAAATAAAGGGTATACGAAAGTAAATATTAAATAAAAACTACACTAATATACACGATAATGAAATTTAAGTACACTTTGGTTCGGAATAATGCAGAAATAGACCACACGAAAATGGGTAAAAATGTATAATATTATATCTAGAATTTGCATTGAAGAGAAGCCATTCCTTCCCTCTTCCACACTGCTCCCTCCCTCTCTCTCTTATTGTACCCTCCCTTCCCTTATCGAACCCTCCCTTCCATTACTGAACCCTCCCTTCCCTCACTGAACCCTCCCTTCCCTCAAGTATACTCTTAAAGAAGGTAAGGGAAGTGAAGAGCTGCTAAACTAGGGGAAAGAAAAATGTAAGTGTATAGAGGGGAGAGAAGTGTTTGGAGGAGAAGGAAGGGGCAATGAAGAAGGAGAGGAGGAGGAGGAGAAATATATGCAGGAGAAGGAGGAGGCAGAAGGGAAAAGAACGGACCCGAGCTGAAAACGAGACGCAGTAACGTGGCTGAGAACAGTCATCAAGGAAGGAACACCTGACCACTACTTATTACCACTGACCTAAATTACCAGAGGTAGATATTGATCAAGCCAGAAACTGTTACAACCGTTGGCACTGGCCGGTGGGGTGGGGGGGAGGGGTGGGGAAGGCTCTTGGCACTGACAGAGGAGGGGGGAGATTGTTAAGATTGGCTCGGATTCGGATCAACTACTGCCCGATTAGTGGACAAAGGGGAACAATCATTGGGATGTGGGAAGAGTATTTATTCAATATTCTTTCAGGTGACTGGCCAGTCAGTGACTGTTGACAATGAGTAGCTGGTCAACCAGTGAGTGTCACCACTGTGTAGCCATGAGGAGGACGTGAGGATGGGTATGAGTATGAAAGAAAGGTGCAGATATGAGGGGGGGGAGAGAGGGTGAGGATAACGCCGTGAGGAATAAATAAGAACAAAGGGGGGAGGGGGAAGGGAGGGAGTACGAAGGAAACATGGTAAAAAACACCAAGACGTGAATACTAATGAGAGTCATAAGAAAACAAGCGCGATAACCAACGCAGATAGCACGTGCATTATCCAACGCTCATAGCACGTGCGATAACCAAAGCAGATAACACGTGCATTATCCAACGCTCATAGCACGTGCGATAACCAAAGCAGATAACACGTGCATTATCCTACGCTCATAGCACGTGCGATAACCAAAGCAGATAACACGTGCATAATCCAACGCTTATAGCACGTGCGATAACCAACGCAGATAATACGTGCATTATCCAACGCTTATAACACGTGCGATAACCAACGTAGATAACACGTGCATAATCCAACGGTGATAACGACAAGCTAAAATTAAAAAAATCCCGTATATTACCAAACTTATATCTTGCAATTACTCCTTAACAAAGAGATGCACAAAAGGCCCTTTTCCTCCGACAACAAACTTACAAACAGCCATTTTCCTCCAATAAACAAACCTACAAATGGCCATTTTCCTCCTATAACAGACCTACAAAAAGCAGTCTCTCTCTCTGATTACAAACTGACACAAAAAGTAATAATTTTTCTCTGTTGGTGTAAAAAAGACCATTTTTCTTTGATTACAAAGCAATCAATATTATTTTTTCTTTGATTACAAAGCTGCAAAAAGTAATCTTTCTCGTGTTACAGAACTACAAAAGGTAATTTTCTTCTTATAAAAGACACACACAAAAGACCCTTTTCCTCTGCTTACATACACACAAAAGACCATTTTCCTCTGATGGCACACAAAAAGGTCATTTTGAAATGATAACTGACCTATAGCTGATCATTTACCCCCACTAATAACTGACATGATAACAGAAATTAAGATAACAGAAGCCTTCAATGTGTAATGCTGCGCTCATTTCAGGGCTTAGAGCTCTACCACAACGCGACAGCTGGGGTTATACAGAGCAACCAGAGCCTGGTTCTCCAAGGCGTGGGGCGGGGCTCTTCTGGGCTCTATACCTGCAAAGCCGTCAACTCACAGGGATCAGACACCTCTAACGCTCTACATCTCAACGTCAAGTGTAAGTATAGAGTTCCAGGGGTGCTCCGAGGCTCTATGGGTTGTAGGGTCTATAATACTATATATTTCAATGTGAAAAGCGAGCAGGAACTCTTAAAGGCATTATAGTACTCTATGGTTCTATAGGGGACTAGATGGATCTTGTGCTCGCATAGACTCTATAATCTCTATGGGTTTCTATCTGAGAGTCTGATGCGAATAAGAAATATATGTAAGGTCAAGGCTCTTTAGCTAATTAGCTTATTTTAGTATAAACCATGTATTAAACTTTTTCTTTAAATCTAAATTATCCGCAGCGAATTTCAGATATTCATGATTCGTAATGTATATCTACTGCATTTATACATACTTTCTGAATCAAATATCTCCCTAATTCATTCATACATCCTGCATGATTCGTAATATACATATACAGCATCAATTCGCACTCTCAATTACTCGTCAATAATTACTAACTTTTGTAACCAATTCTATAATCACCATTGATGTCTAATTAACAACCAAATAATCACATATAACTACTCACAAACATTATTAGCGACACAATGAACACAAAAACTTTCTAAAAAAAAATAATTAATCTGAACGAAAACAAATTTAATGAGTTAAAATATAGTTAGAAGTAAATTTAATGAGTTAAAAATATAGTTAGAGGCAAACAAGTTAGTTTTTTTATTTGTTTCGTTGTATTTTACTAGGCCGTGGAAGAGTTAGGGAACACAAATCCTGGTGTCAACTCAACGCGGCGTGAAACTAAGGGTCGCCGGCCACACATTGACAACACAAAAATAAAGTTTTTAGTGAGTGCATATTCCCATGTGTATGTGTTTACACTTTAGGAGCCACGGCCGCGTAATGGGCTTCAAAACAGATTTTTTTGAATGTGTGTGCTTGTGTGGCGCTTGTGAATGTGTGTGTGTATACTCACCTATTTGTACTCACCTATTTGTGCTTGCGGGGGTTGAGCTTTGGCTCTTTGGTCCCGCCTCTCAACTGTCAATCAACTGGTGTACAGATTCCAGTAATGTGTGTGTGTGTGTGTGTGTGTGTGTGTGTGTGTGTGTGTGTGTGTGTGTGTGTGTGTGTGTGTGTGTGTGTGTGTATCATATCCAGAACACGGTGATAGTTTAAGTGGTCACATTATCCTAGCGGAACGCCAACGGATCACAACAGAACATTCAAACAGTCGGATATCTCTACTTCCCGTTGCTTTTTACCTCCCCTCTGTCTCCCCCTATTTCCTCCCCCCCCCCTATTATCTTCCCTCTGCCTCCCCCCCCCTATTATCTTCCCTCTGCCTCCCCCCCCCCTATTATCTTCCCTCTGCCTCCCCTCTGTCTCCACACTTCGTCCCCTCCCTGTCCCACATAAACTCCCCTCCCTCCCTCCCCAGTTTCTCCCGTCTGCGCCTCGGGACAGAAGTGGGTGTACGGGGGCCGGCGTCACCAGCCCGTCAACGTGACCTGTCGGGTGGAGGCGCACCCGGAAGCTACCACCTTTCGCTGGGCGTTCAACACCTCCAGCGAGTTCGTAGAGCTACCGCAGAGCCGCGTCCTCTCCGGCCGCAGCCGCAGCCTGGTGGAGTACACGCCGCAGACGCACCACGACTTCGGCTCCCTCCTCTGCTGGGGCCGCAACCACATCGATCTCCAGCACCGACCTTGTGTCTTTCACGTGGTACCCGCAGGTGAGTCTCAGGCTTCGTGTAGGCTTCGTGTAGGCTTCTTGTAGGCTTCGTGTAGGCTCCGTGTAGGCTTCTTGTAGGCTTCGTGTAGGCTTTAGGAGAGGTTTCTTTTTTGTTGTGAGGGACTTGTATAGGCCTGTGTGGATCGTCTGTCCCGTATATCGCTCCCAATAGGCTAGTATGTCTTATTGTGTTTAGTTATATTTGTCCGTGTGAGTCTGTTCAAGTCCGGATGATTTACTGGACACTGCGATTATCTGTGAGTTGGCTCAGTAGTCGAAAGGGCTGAGTGATAGTGTGGAAGGCTGGATGATAGCTCAGATGGTTGTATGATAGCCTGGAGAGCTGTATGACAGCCACGAGGGCTGTATGATAGCTTGAAGGGTTGTATGACAGCCTAGTGGGCTGTATGACAGCCTAGTGGGCTGTATGACAACCTAGTGGGCTGTATGACAACCTAGTGGGCTGTATGACAGCCTAGTGAGCTGTATGACAGCCTAGTGAGCTGTATGACAGCCTAGTGGGCTGTATGACAGCCTAGTGGGCTGTATGACAGCCTAGTGGGCTGTATGACAGCCTAGTGGGTTGTATGACAGCCTAGTGGGCTGTATGACAGCCTAGTGGGCTGTATGAAAGCCTAGTAGGCTGTATGACAGTCCAGAGGGCTGTATGATAGCTTGCAGGGCAGTATGACAGCCTAGAGGGCTGTATGATAGCCTTGAGGACAGTTATAGCTACGCACTCCAGCACCTTGCGGTTTCATATTAAATAACGACAATGAGCTTAAAGTTCCGAGTTTCAACTTTAAGTTGAGGGTATTTGCATTCAAGTTTGGGACTCTGTGATGTTGGAGTTTAACGTGTTTTGATGTGGTTTTATGGGCGGTTCTTTGTGGTTTAATGTACTCTTTTGTGTTTATTAAGGAGGGGGGGGTTATATGTGGTTTTATGAGATTATACGTGGTTTTATGCGTGTCTCACTCTAATAGATGTTTACATATGTCAACGAGATCTCGATAAGACAGATGACTATATTATATATATATATATATATATATATATATATATATATATATATATATATATATATATATATATATATATATATATATATATAACTGAAAACTCACACCCCAGAAGTGACTCGAACCCATACTCCCAGAAGCGTCTTGTACATACCAGTTGCGTTGCTTCTGGGAGTATGGGTTCGAGTCACTTCTGGGGTGTGAGTTTTCAGTTGCATATTGTCCTGGGGACCATTCAGGCTTGTTCGCATATATATATATATATATATATATATATATATATATATATATATATATATATATATATATATATATATATATATATATATATAATGTGACAGTGTCAGACCACGAAGGAAGAATTGAAACAGGAATTTCCTTAAGTACTTTCGTATATTAATTCATCTTCAGAAGGAATACCTTCTGAAGATGAATTAATATACGAAAGTACTTAAGGAAATTCCTGTTTCAATTCTTCCTCCGTGGTCTGACACTGTCACATATATATATATAATCTTCATTACAACCTTCTGTTGCTCTGGCTTTTCCGGCAGCAGCAGTTTCTTCCCACATGTGTGAGTATATACATATATACAAGTGTCCTCGGGTTTAACAGTAATTTCCGGCCAGCTGACTGTACCTGTGTTCCCTGCAGGAGTGCCAGAGGCGGTGAGCAACTGCAGTGCCTGGCACAACGGCAGCGCAGCGGGGGAAGTGGTGGTGTCGTGCCAGGCCGGCTGGAGCGGGGGTCTGGCCCAGACCTTCACTCTACAGGTGCGTCAGGCTCAGCCCAAGGCCAGCCTCACCTCACCTGGGCTTCCCGGAGTCTCCGGCAAGATCCTGGCAGACGGTGGCAAGATCCTGGGCTCCGCAGCAGACGGTGGCAAGATCCTGGGCTCTGCAGCAGACGGTGGCAAGATCCTGGGCTCCGCAGCAGACGCTGCTGGCAAGATCGACCATTCTCCTGGGTCTGGGAAGCTCTTGGCGTCTCTCGAAGACCAGCACGAACCGCATTTCACCGTCTCGGGACTCGAACCGGGTTCGGAGTATCACCTGGTGGTTGTGGCCTCGAACGCCCAGGGCCCTGCTCAGCCAGCAGTCATCGCCTACCTCACGCCCATAGATGTGGCAGAGAAGCAGACAAGCGCTGCCGCTGCTGAGGGCTCCGACTCGAATTTCGCAGCGGACGTCGGACCTGTCTTGGGAGTGGTGGTGGGCGTGGCGGCCTTTCTGCTGGTGAGCTCTGTCGTTGTGGTGATGGTCGTGTGCACCCGCGCCGCCCACGCCCACGCCCGCGCCCACGCCCACGCCCGCGCCCACGCCCACGCCCCCGACAGCAGCAGCAGCACCAAAGTGGTGTACGACATGGCAGCTACGCCTCATTCTCAAGCTGGGGAATGTAAAGGCTTCGTACAACAGCAACAGCCAGGACCTGATATTATTCTTATTAAGAGCGGTGAGTTGGGAAAAGGGAGAGAGAGAGAGAGAGAGAGAGAGAGAGAGAGAGAGAGAGAGAGAGAGAGAGAGAGAGAGAGAGAGAGAGAGAGAGAGAGAGAGAGAGAGAGAGAGAGAGAGAGAGAGAGAATCACTTTACTTACATGAGTGTAACTTATCCTCTAAATAAAGTATATTCCTAATGTATACACAAAGAGACTCCAGAGACAGATAGTCAAACAGAAACGTAGACAGGTGACTATTTGACTATAACAGATGTTGCTACAAATTAGATCTATTAGTATATGTCTATACCACTCCCCAGAGCTGGTGTAGGACCTGTCTATACCACTCCCCAGAGCTGGAGTAGGACCTGTCTATACCACTCCCCAGAGCTGGTGTAGGACCTGTCTATACCACTCCCCAGAGCTGGTGTCGGACCTGTCTATTCCACTCCCCAGAGCTGGTGTAGGACCTGTCTATTCCACTCCCCAGAGCTGGTGTAGGACCTGTCTATCTGTCTATACCACTCCCCAGAGCTGGTGTCGGACCTGTCTATTCCACTCCCCAGAGCTGGTGTAGGACCTGTCTATTCCACTCCCCAGAGCTGGTGTAGGACCTGTCTATTCCACTCCCCAGAGCTGGTGTAGGACCTGTCTATCTGTCTATACCACTCCCCAGAGCTGGTGTCGGACCTGTCTATTCCACTCCCCAGAGCTGGTGTAGGACCTGTCTACACCACTCCCCAGAGTTGGTGTAGGACCTGTCTATACCACTCCCCAGAGTTGGTGTAGGACCTGTCTATACCACTCCCCAGAGCTGGTGTAGGACCTGTCTACACCACTCCCCAGAGTTGGTGTAGGACCTGTCTATACCACTCCCCAGAGCTGGTGTAGGACCTGTCTATACCACTCCCCAGAGCTGGTGTAGGACCTGTCTATACCACTCCCCAGAGCTGGTGTAGGACCTGTCTACACCACTCCCCAGAGTTGGTGTAGGACCTGTCTATACCACTCCCCAGAGCTGGTGTAGGACCTGTCTACACCACTCCCCAGAGCTGGTGTAGGACCTGTCTATACCACTCCCCAGAGCTGGTGTAGGACCTGTCTATACCACTCCCCAGAGCTGGTGTAGGACCTGTCTATACCACTCCCCAGGGCTGGTGTAGGACCTGTCTATACCACTCCCCAGAGCTGGTGTAGGACCTGTCTATACCACTCCCCAGAGCTGGTGTAGGACCTGTCTATACCACTCCCCAGAGCTGGTGTAGGACCTGTCTATACCACTCCCCAGAGCTGGTGTAGGACCTGTCTATACCACTCCCCAGAGCTGGTGTAGGACCTGTCTATACCACTCCCCAGAGCTGGTGTAGGACCTGTCTATACCACTCCCCAGAGCTGGTGTAGGACCTGTCTACACCACTCCCCAGAGTTGGTGTAGGACCTGTCTATACCACTCCCCAGAGTTGGTGTAGGACCTGTCTATACCACTCCCCAATGCTGGTGTAGGACCTGTCTATACCACTCCCCAGAGCTGGTGTAGGACCTGTCTATACCACTCCCCAGAGCTGGTGTAGGACCTGTCTATACCACTCCCCAGAGCTGGTGTAGGACCTGTCTATACCACTCCCCAGAGCTGGTGTCGGACCTGTCTATACCACTCCCCAGAGCTGGTGTAGGACCTGTCTATACCACTCCCCAGAGCTGGTGTAGGACCTGTCTATACCACTCCCCAGAGCTGGTGTAGGACGTGTCTATACAACTCCCCAGAGCTGGTGTAGGACCTGTCTATACCACTCCCCAGAGCTGGTGTAGGACCTGTCTATACCACTCCCCAGAGCTGGTGTAGGACCTGTCTATACCACTCCCCAGAGCTGGTGTAGGACGTGTCTATACAACTCCCCAGAGCTGGTGTAGGACCTGTCTATACAACTCCCCAGAGCTGGTGTAGGACCTGTCTATACCACTCCCCAGAGCTGGTGTAGGACCTGTCTATACAACTCCCCAGAGCTGGTGTAGGACCTGTCTATACCACTCCCCAGAGCTGGTGTAGGACCTGTCTATACCACTCCCCAGAGCTGGTGTAGGACCTGTCTATACCACTCCCCAGAGCTGGTGTAGGACCTGTCTATACCACTCCCCAGAGCTGGTGTAGGACCTGTCTATACCACTCCCCAGAGCTGGTGTAGGACCTGTCTATACCACTCCCCAGAGCTGGTGTAGGACCTGTCTATACCACTCCCCAGAGCTGGTGTAGGACCTGTCTATACCACTCCCCAGAGCTGGTGTAGGACCTGTCTATACCACTCCCCAGAGCTGGTGTAGGATCTGTCTATACCACTCCCCAGAGCTGGTGTAGGACCTGTCTATACCACTCCCCAGAGCTGGTGTAGGACCTGTCTATACCACTCCCCAGAGCTGGTGTAGGATCTGTCTATACCACTCCCCAGAGCTGGTGTAGGATCTGTCTATACCACTCCCCAGAGCTGGTGTAGGACCTGTCTATACCACTCCCCAGAGTTGGTGTAGGACCTGTCTATACCACTCCCCAGAGCTGGTGTAGGACCTGTCTATACCACTCCCCAGAGTTGGTGTAGGACCTGTCTATACCACTCCCCAGAGCTGGTGTAGGATCTGTCTATACCACTCCCCAGAGCTGGTGTAGGACCTGTCTATACCACTCCCCAGAGCTGGTGTAGGACCTGTCTATACCACTCCCCAGAGCTGGTGTAGGATCTGTCTATACCACTCCCCAGAGCTGGTGTAGGATCTGTCTATACCACTCCCCAGAGCTGGTGTAGGACCTGTCTATACCACTCCCCAGAGCTGGTGTAGGACCTGTCTATACCACTCCCCAGAGCTGGTGTAGGACCTGTCTATACCACTCCCCAGAGCTGGTGTAGGATCTGTCTATACCACTCCCCAGAGCTGGTGTAGGATCTGTCTATACCACTCCCCAGAGCTGGTGTAGGACCTGTCTATACCACTCCCCAGAGTTGGTGTAGGACCTGTCTATACCACTCCCCAGAGCTGGTGTAGGACCTGTCTATACCACTCCCCAGAGTTGGTGTAGGACCTGTCTATACCACTCCCCAGAGCTGGTGTAGGATCTGTCTATACCACTCCCCAGAGCTGGTGTAGGACCTGTCTATACCACTCCCCAGAGCTGGTGTAGGACCTGTCTATACCACTCCCCAGAGCTGGTGTAGGATCTGTCTATACCACTCCCCAGAGCTGGTGTAGGATCTGTCTATACCACTCCCCAGAGCTGGTGTAGGACCTGTCTATACCACTCCCCAGAGCTGGTGTAGGACCTGTCTATACCACTCCCCAGAGCTGGTGTAGGACCTGTCTATACCACTCCCCAGAGTTGGTGTAGGATCTGTCTATACCACTCCCCAGAGCTGGTGTAGGACCTGTCTATACCACTCCCCAGAGTTGGTGTAGGACCTGTCTATACCACTCCCCAGAGCTGGTGTAGGACCTGTCTATACCACTCCCCAGAGTTGGTGTAGGACCTGTCTATACAACTCCCCAGAGCTGGTGTAGAGCGGCGGAAGGGACAAGGACCAGATGACGAGTTTTCAGATGATTTTCAATTAATTGATATAGCTGCTTTTATTAGAGTATGTTTAATGGAATATATATTCCTGGAGTTTAATAGAATATATGAATAATAAAGTGGAATGGTGAATGTCTTTGTTCACGTACGTGACTTTTCTTGTTTATGCGTTCGGATTTGCTTGTTTGTGTTTCATTATGCATGTATGTATGTATGTGTGTGTTGGTGTTTACTAGTTGTGTTTACTAGTTGTGTTGTTGCGGGGGTTGAGCTTTGCTCTTTCGGCCCGCCTCTCAACTGTCAATCAACTGTTTACTACTTTTTTTTTTTTCCACACCACACACACACACCCCAGGAAGCAGCCCGTGACAGCTGACTAACTCCCAGGTACCTATTTACTGCTAGGTAACAGGGGCACTTAGGGTGAAAGAAACTTTGCCCATTTGTTTCTGCCTCGTGCGGGAATCGAACCCGCGCCACAGAATTACGAGTCCTGCGCGCTATCCACCAGGCTACGAGGCCCCTACTGGGTGTGTGTGTATGTGTACTTACCCAGCTGTACTTACCTAGTTGTGCTTGCGGGGGTTGAACTCTGGCTCTTTGGTCCCGCCTCGCAACGTTCAATAAACTAATGTACAGGTGCCTGAGCCTACTGGGCTCTATCATATCTACACTTAAAGCTGTGTATGGAGTCAGCCTCCACCACATCACTTCCTAATGCATTCTATTTGTCCACTACTCTGACACTGAAAAAATTATTTCTAATATCTCTATGGCTCATTTGGGCACTCAATTTCCACCTGTATCCCTCTAGTGAGTGTGCCCCTTGTGCTAAATAGTCAGTCTTTATCTACCCTAGAAATTCTTCTAAGAATCTTGTATGTGGTGATCATGTCCCCTCTAACTCTTCTGTCTCCCAGTAACGTGAGGTTTTATTCCCGTAGTCTCTCCTCGTAGCTCATACCCCTCAGTTCGGGAACTTCTCTAGTGGCAAACTTTTGAACCTTTACCAGTTTAGTCTTATGCTTGACTAGATATGGACTCCTTGCTGGAGCCACATACTCCAGGATTGGTCTGACATATGTGACATATGTGGCATATGTATACAAGGCCTGACAAGGATGTGTGTATATATATATATATATATATATATATATATATATATATGTGTGTGTGTGTGTGTGTGTGTGTGTGTGTGTGTGTGTGTGTGTGTGTGTGTGTGTGTGTGTGTGTGTGTGTGTTTACATTTTTATTACATTACATTAAATGTTACATTCATTTTTCACGTGTTATCGTGTCAGAAGGAAAGATAACGAAGGTTTTGTATAATGTTTAATAAACACACACACACACACACACACACACACACACACACACACACACACACGCGCACACAAGGAGTACCTAAGCAACAGGACCACTCCTGTTGCTTATATTGACTCATATTGACTCATATATTGT